TCTTCTCAAAAACAAAAAGTCTTGTTTAGAAGTTTCATCAGCTGAAAAGCATTGAAAAGTAAAACAAAATTCAGTAATCTCAGTTTGATAATCCTATAAAACCCAGATTTCAAAACAAATATTTGAGACATTAACCAAATCACCCATACTGGTACATTCAAGTGCCATAAAAAGCAAGCTACATGCGAAGTTTCATTAATATTGAGGTAAAAAATGACAGGTTAGGCATCCAAGTTATGTTCTGAAGAGACAGTGTACTCATATTTACTGCAGGGAAGTCTTATAAATCAACATGCAAACAGGACACATAACTTGTCACAACAGAACTTTAGCTCACAAGGCCATTGATTAAAAACAATTGATTTCAACATAAGTGCAAGAACAAACAGGTCTGAAGTGTATCAAGAAAACAAAGTATATCAATATACATTTTAAGCTTATCATAATGGCTAAATATTGCTTCTAGCAACATAATTATTTAAGCCATAAAGAAGTAACACAGTATTTCAATTCAAAGAAGTGTTTGTTTTTGTACAGGTCTTGCATAAATCTATATTCCAGGACGTTTAAAGACAGGTAGAGCAGTCTGGGAGATTCAGCCCTGGCTGGAGGCAAACGGGCACCAGCACCATTTTCCTTAAACTATATTGACACTCTATTTATGAAAAGATGGCATTTAACCTTGGAAGATCTCTTCTATACGTTAGGCAGGATAAAGTCATCAGTCCCAGCACACTCAGAAATAGTTAATGAAAAGGCCACAGAAGTCAAAAGCCCTTTTCCAGAAAAGGCCTTTGTATATATTGGTTTGATATCCTAAGAAAAGGAGTGGTTATGGATTTGTGGACTAAAACGTTATCATTTTAAGGCTTTTGAAAGGTTAGCAAGTTAAATTTTTTCTTAAACTACAGAGCCCATGCCACACAAATGACTATAGAAGACTAGGAAAATATTCCATCAAATGTTTCTAGAGAGTATCCTGGTTTGTGTGAGAAATTGGATAGGGGGCGCATAGCAACAGTTAACAATAAGAACATGCAGGATAAAAGAGTTAAAGCTTTTGGGAAAAGTCCCAACCTGCCATATGCTCAAATCTGATTTGTTTAAACTTCGGTGCAGAAAAGCTGGCTTGGGCAATCCATTGCTACTCCTTTGTATCCCACAATACCTACTCTACAAAGAGTAACATTTGATTGACAGAAAAATGATCACAAGAGCTTCCCTAGGACAGTGAACTATCAAGATCAGAAGGCATCATACAAGAGATAACACAGTTGAAGCCAAGGACAAAAGTTCAATGACCTTTTTAGTCTTGACATTTCAGACAAGCACCCTGTTTTCCAATCACAGAAAGACCAACCACCAAACAGCCAATACAAGGACCACGAGAAAAGACATCATGAAAGGAATACGAGGAGACGGAAAAGTACTAAAGTAGAGGTGGCACTTTTTGAGTGACTTGTGATCCTCAGGGATTGGAATAGAAACCTTGGGAAGAATTTCTTCATTTTCTTGCTGGGGCAAGGCTCTTTCAGTAGATCTCTCTTGCCTTTTAATTTTCTCTTCATCCTGTACTAACAGAGCACGTTCCTGTGTCTGCTTTCACGGTAGAAGATCAAGAAAGACAGAATAAGATGAACAAAATGACAGATGGAAAATGCTCAAAAATGATACTTGGGGATGTGCAAAGGATTTGGAAAGATCTTTTGGACACTATTTTAGTTTTACTTTATTTTCACAATTTATTCTGGCAAAGTTTCTATAATACAGCAGGGTGATCAATAGATAATTTTTTGAATGAATGAACATTAGAACTCCTGAAAGTTCAAGGAATCACTGGCTTTCCTTAGTTACATTATTTACTCCTCCTTTGAGGATATTCACATATGAATTTGGGGTCATTTTTATTGCTTTCGTATTGCCAATCATCAATTTGGCAATGCCAATAATGAAGCATTCTTCTTGCCATCAGAAAAAGTTATTTTTATTACAAATACAATGGCAGAATATAAAAAGTATCCTCATATCTCTTCATATAGACTTAAAAAACTGCAACAGTTCATTCAGTATGGTAATTAGCTTTTGCTTAAGGAAATAAAAATCTTAACCTTATACATTTCAAAGATTGCAAAAGAAGAACAAAAGTATAAAAGTTTATAATGTGCCTCCAAGGTCTACCAAAAAAAGAAAAAGAAAAAGAAAAAGAAAAAGAAAAAACCCACAAGATCTCAACAATTGCAAACTCCCCAAATCATGATTAAAAATAATAATAACAACCATCATGAAGGTTTATACATTAAGCAAATACTTCTGACACTTTTAAGGAAAGTTTTTTTTCCCTCAATTGTCCAATTGAGAAGTTTTTCTCTACAATTTCTGTACTCCACTATCGATAGTCAAGATAGATGTTATCTATGAAAGGAAAAACTTGGCTCTAAGTTCTCTTAGTTGAGCTAGCCTTCTCTGATCAGTTTGGAAGTTCAACACTGGTTCTTTGCACACCCCTAAGTGATATGTATCAGGGAGAAAGTAGCTAGGGGACTGGTCAGCAAAAAAAAAAAAAGAAAAAGAAAGGATGCAAAATTATAATGATTTTTAAAAGAAAATAAAGGGGGAGAAGAAAGACAACATAAAAAGAATAGGGCATAATTAAATTCATTTTCTCTCTGAATACATATTTACATCTTCATGCAGCTTTTCAACCAGCCATGCGCCGAAATAAGCAAATTGAAAGCTGCAAAAGCTGCAGTAGTGAAAGTGTTATGAGTTAGGCCAAAAGGCTGTGGATGTGAATTTACTAGTATAGCCAAGGAAAAAAAAATTATTTAGCAGCTGTTGTTCAGTTCTGGAGGGATTATCTGCTTGGTGCCATGACAAGAGCAAATTCTGACTGAGAAGCACAAATCATAACAGCAGCTTTACCTCTGGCCCACCAACCTTTCTTTCCGAGGGAAGGACAGAGGTTTTCTTCACCTGGTCATACACAAATTATATAAAATTCAGTTGCCTTGCAATGCAACAACAATGCTGTCAAAGGTGGAAGAGGTAACTCCAGAGAACAGAAATATTATCCTAATTATTAAGGAAAAAGTAAGGTATGCCAGAAAGGGGAATTATCCCAATATAAAAGGTCACTCACAGTACAGTTCTTATTTATTTCACCATTCCCTTAGAGGAGTAATAGCATAGAGCTACAATTGTTCAAGTACTCCCCATGGATTTAGTTGACTTTATAACAAGTCATTTCTTTAAAGTACAGAGAATGACATCACCATTCCCAAAACTGGCCTTGAGATGATTTCTGAAGGATTTCTATTAAAAGACATAAGATATTTTCTGGAAATGGAGACTGATGCAAATTTACCCAACCTCATCCAAGAGAGTATCGAGTAACTTTTTCAAAGTAGTTGAGCGTCTTTTGTCACTTGCATAGAGTCAAAAAGAAAACTAGAAAATATACAGTTATGGTTTACAGATAGGGTTAACCAGGCGAGATAGCAACAAGGCATTTTCTCATGGAGTCATAGACTTACAGAATTTTAGAGTTAGCAAGGACCTTAAAGATCATCTACTCTATAAACTGAGGCCCAATAAGATAAATTACTTGTTCAGAATCATTCCTTTAGGCTTTCATTAGCCAGACCCTCTCAATCAAATCAAGTCACAACTAGCACTGCTAGACTCTTTATGACCCTTATTATTAGGGACACATCAAAATGAAATATCTGACTGACAATGAAATAACCCCAGAAAGTGGGGTTATTGTCTCAGTTTAGAGTACATGCTTTAGATTTAGAAAACAAAACTAATGTCCATTTGTATCAGAAAATGGAAGCTTAGAAAGGACAGTAAGTAGGAGCAACAGCGTTCCTATCATCCCCCGTGACTCTGTTTAGCTGCTCATCATTCAGGTATTCTCCAGCCTGAACTTGTGAAACTGATTCAACTCTGGAGAACTGTCAGCCAATTTTAACCACACTTTGGAAGATACAGAAAGTACTCGTTGTGAACCAACGTTTATCACCTTCTCCAGTTCCAGAAACTAAACAATAATTTGGATGGTTTACTATGAATTCTGAAAATTTAAAAAAAAAAATCCAGTTTTTTAATTAAGACATCACCTTACCTTTCTTAATTAGAATTGCTATTGTTTTGGGGGAAAAACAAACATCAGACTTCTAAATCATTACACTCACTCATTGAGTCACTGCAACTATTTATATAAATATTTAACCTGTACTGGCTAAAGATAAAGACTTTTTGGATATATGCTCAAGGTAACTTTCAATTTCATTTTCATTAAACAGATTTATTTATTTATTTATACGTAGGATTTCTAAAACAGGTAATGATAACAATAACACAAAAAGAACAGCCCCTGAAAGATACCTCTGTTCTTCTCTAATTGTGACTATCTTACAAAACAATGTATTAAAAGTTTGATGTCATACATAAAGATAAAATAAAACATCAGTAGTTTTTCTAAAATAGAAATATGATCATTAATACTTGGTGTTCTGTATTCTCTGGCTTAGGAGCCTCCTCAGTTTAATATATAATTGTGAGCAACCATTCCAGATACTTCTAAGTTGTGTAAATGTTCAAAAAAAGTTTTAAAAAATGGTAATCCCTTCCAATTTTGACCTTACTAAATGTAATGAACTTTCTGGTCCTTGAAGACACAGTTTGAATATAAATAAAGCTCTACTGGCTTATGGGCAATTTATAAACACACATTAGCCGAAGCATGTAGCTGCAGAGACAGTTCTCAGAGCCTACTCATCTACTGGTAACTCTAAATGGCTCCCATAATTGGACTGGGTAGCCTACATGACTTAAAAAATAAATGCTTGATTATGAATGCCTTAAGCTAAAATGAATTTATCAGGCATCAAAGCCAAATCTGAGCTCTAAGCTTTCTCTCAAGCACGGAATACTAATATACAAAAACATTTATTCCATTCCTTCTCACAATTGGTCATGTCAGACAAAGTACTCACTCCTTCTCCTGTGGGGATTTGCCCATTGATGTTAAGAGTTCGGAAGGGCGAGTGAGTAGATAAACGTTTATCCCATTCACTAGGCCGTGGTTCTGGTACAGACTCCATGAAGTTCTTTTTCAGCTCACTGATGCTGGCATGATGCTTTTTGATCTCTTCTTGACTCTTATCTAAATCCTACAGTTGAAAGGACAAAGATGCAAAACAATAAATAATCAGGACAAAAAACACACCAAGGGCAACCCATCAGAAACTGGGCACTGGTAGAAAACACACCACATCCAGGATATATGTTACAAATCCATCAATTGCATTTGAATTGTAAATATACACATGGCATATTTGCTTGTTTTGTTTCTTTTTTTTTTAAATAAAGTGCTTTTCTTGGAAGCAGTGAAGCATCACAACCCCACAGTTCTCAATAGTTACATAATCCCTAAAGAGCTCACCCCTTAATTTTATAATTTTCCTTCCCATTATGATCCAGAACCAGATCTCTAACTCCTCATCCCAAGAAGGTAACCCCACAACTCAATTAGCCTCAGCTTGATAGGAACTGATTTAGGCTCAGCTCAGCAGGATGGAGATAGCAATAAAGAAACTGTTAAATGAAGGACAATATGAAAGATTCGACTTCCACTATTGGCTGTCTTGTCTTGGTGAGGTACAAACATATAGTAGCCCTCCTATTTCTACCTGGAGATAGTTTTGCTTCTCTAGTAGGTGGCTGATTTTGCTTTTTGATAAACAGGAATAGCCCCTTTTTAATATTAAAATTCATTACTGAAATTGCTAATTAAAGCATCAAGAGCAGGTTGTTATCACCTCTGAAAAATCACTCAGGAGTATGTAATATAACGGGTTTTTTTTTGTTTTTTTTTTTTTTGAGACAGAGTCTGGCTCTGTTGCCCTGGCTAGAGTGCCACAGCATTAGCCTAGCTCACAGCAACCTCAAACTCCTGGGCTCAAGCGATCCTCCTGCCTCAGCCTTCCGAGTAGCTGGGACTACAGGCACGTGCCACCATGCCCGGCTAATTTTTTCTATATATATATTTTTAGTTGTCCAGATAATTTCTTTCTATTTTTGGTAGAAACGGGGTCTCACTCTTGCTCAGGCTGGTCTCGAACTCCTGACTTTGAGCGATCCACCCGCCTCGGCCTCCCAGAGTGTTAGGATTACAGGCGTGAGCCACTGCACCCGGCCTACTGGGGGTTTTTTTGATCAATACTATTCACATAAACTAAAAGCTTTATGCTTTCCTGTGTCTAACAGCTTCACTTCATCCCTTAGCATAATTTGAAATAGGAACTTCTTCCACTAATCTTCAATGGATTAGGAATTAACAAAAGTTCAAAATACCTTACATATCTTATTGACAATTTAAAATAATTCAAGTGTTCCAGCAGATTTGAATACTGGGCAACCAGAGGTAGGGATGAGCTCTTAAAGGGGATATTACAGGGGGAAATGATCAAAACTAAGGTTAATAAAGTATGAGCTAGAAATAATATTCAGGTTTATGTAAAAGGAGGTATTTAATAACTTTTAAAAAGGAGACTTGACCAAAAATAGTCTGGTAAATATAACTTAAAGACAAAAAAAATCACATGTTCTTTGTCCAACATTTCAAAATAACTCAAAAGATCTATGCTTGAGATCAAAACATGTGGGAGCTCATCACTTGATGACTGCAAAAAATTCTGTGTTTATTACATGTCAAGGCAGCTCTGTATCCAAGAAAAGTATAATGCTAAATATATCTCCTAATATGCTGGGTGAATTTTTGGATTAGTCTTTCCTTTTTGGCTCTGTGGGAAACAGCTGTATTTTGGGGGAAAAAAATCAGAATTCATTTAAATTAAAATTTGTTTAAAAGTTTTTTTGTGAGAACAATATAGATTTCAACTAAATAAAGCTTTTTCAAAAGCAATTCAAAAGGAAAATAGCATAGGAAAAAGAATCAGTGAGACACATGACAATTTTGATTCTAGAGGTATTCATTCAGAAAATTCATTTACTAGTCTATTCTTTTTATTTTTGCAAGACTGAACCATGGATATTTACACTGAGATCAGTCAAAGAGAAAACTAACCCAAAAAGGGCAATCCTGTACCTCCCCCACCGTAAGAGTATCTTTTGTTTGCTGGGATGAAATCTAAGTATATCTTACGAACATGGGTTTCACCATGGGGAAACTACAGTTTGCACTTTGTTCTAGCTGAAAGCAAGAAAAGCATGTTTACTAGCTCAAGAAAAGCATGAATAAGCCTACTCAAAAACTGAAACCTACCAGGCATGTAAGGCCCTGTGACCCAGCTCCTGACTGGAAATTAAATCTGTTTGGGCCAAGAACAACTTAACACACTTAGAAGGGTTAAAAGTGTAAATGGAGCAAAACAATAATGAGCAAGAGATGCTATGGTAAAATCATAACTCTCTGAGTTAGCTTCTTAATATAAGAGACTGGTGACTTGTTATGCTTCTTGCCCAGGTTTGACTGGCTTAGCACCTAAGAAAATAAATATTTCAATAAAACCAGTAGCTTCTGAGGGAGCTTTCTCCATCCTTCTTAGCTGGCTTTGTTGGAAACCTGTGGGGGCACAGAATAAAATTAAGATCTCAAAGGGACCTGTTCCAAATAGAATTTGTCACAGACACTTGCTACAGGTTCTCTCTGGGAGATGGAGGAGGCGGCGGTAGATCTAAAAATGAACTCGACCTTATTTGTGCCAGAACAAAGCATTAGTGGGGGCGGGGTAGGAGAAGTGGGGAAGAGGGATGCTTTAAAAAAAAAAAAAAAAAAAACCTGCTAGAGTGACAGATAATTTGAGAGAACTTCCTTAGGGGAGAAAAAAAAACTTTTTACAATAACTAAAGAATGATGGTCTAATTATCTTGGCTGTGTTCGGGTTAGACACTTTTTGATGACTATAATTTTAGCAGCAATCAAACTAAACAGTTCATTAAATATAAAATATTCTCAAAAAGCAGTTAGTAGTTTCAATTTTCAAACACACACTTATTTAGAAATCCCCTCTCATGGCTACCAATGAAATGCTGGGGGAGAAATGCATCACACACAGGAACTCTGTGAGTTTCAGAAGCCATAACACACCTCATGGAGCAAATGACAAATATATGATTGGTACTGCAGGTTCCAGTTAAGAGAAGGCACTGAAGATGGACTAGTCAGTAAAAAAACATGTTTAGAATTGGATAATGTTACATTGTTGAGTAAAGGAGATCAATCAACATTTACAATCCTTCCTAATCTCTGAAGACTGAACCATTCAGGTTGAGATTCAGATATGGGATAAAATAATGAGATCTAGTTGCCAAGCTTGAAATATCTAAGAGTCTAGCCTTGGAAAACTTCATGTTAAAGCACTTGGTATTATGTCTGCCATGCAGTACGTGTTTAATGAAGGCTGGTCATAATTTTTATTACTTTTATCAAAGTACTTCACACACAGAAGGTACTCAAAATATAGGTACTGGCAAAGAATGACATGAGGATAAATAGTTATTAGAGGCCATATATTAAACCAGAGATCTATTTTTAAAAGTTCCTTCAAATTTCCAGTTTAATAATATTTACCACATTTAATATATGGTCATCTTTCAGGTCTCAGCTAATGTTAAAATGTTACCTCTTCAGAAACATCTTCCCTGTTCATCTCACTTAGATTCCCTTTGTCGGCACAGCAAACTGTTTATTTCCTACATAGCTTATATAATAACTTGTAATCATTTTACTGCCATTTGTTTACTCATTTGTTGTTTTTCTCCTCCCCTACTCCCTACATTGTAAGCTTCCCAAAGGCAGGAATCATGTTTATCATTTTCTTATATATTTACATTTCCTTTATATTTAAGTTAAATTCCTGATGTAAGAGTTTATACAGATTTCTTTTGGAGTGGAGTTGTAAGATAATCTGGTCATCAACCTCTATACAGTGTAAGAGTTTTTCTGATGTGTAAACTAACTTGGCATCAGTTTTTTCCATATAGAGCAATTCCAGTTTCCTTAATTTTTCCTCACAGAGTTCCCTAATCTTCTAATTAGTTTTATATTTCCCTTTCCAATGTGGAGCCCAAAACTAGATGAAGTATACTAATATAGGTCTGGTAAAAATCTGGCCAATGTTGCATGTAATAGGAAAGTAACCTTACAATTCCTATAGCAGAAAGTATATTGTTATTCCTGAATGGAAATAATACAGTTCACAGAGTCAGATAGATCCTAACCCAAATCTTAGCTTTACCAATTTACCAGCTCTGTGGTCATCGGGAAATTATTTAATTTCTCTAAGCTTCAATCTTCCCATCTTTAAAATAATAATCCCATATTCACAGGCCTGTTTTTATGATTAAATATCTTACAGTAACTACTCATTAAATGCTAGGCTTCCCTCTTTCCTTCTTGTATATTACCTTTTTCCCTCTGAACATTCTTCATTTTTTCCTTACCTCTAATATTTTAAGTACATTCAGAATTGTGATCATTTTCCCTACTTTTTCGTACACTCTAAGTTCAGAAAATGAAAGAATAGTGCAAATTTGCATCTTGGGGCATATAGAAGTTTATATCCTTAGAAAATTCAAGGGACTTTTAGTAATGATGTAGAACTTTCTAAAAGTGGGTAAAACAATGGAACCATGAGGTAGAGATAGTCCCAATCATATATTTTTTCAGATAAGTATGAAAGATGGAAACTAAAAAGAATCAGAAAGAGAAATGATTGCGTACCTTCATGTTTACCAACATGCAAAAGCATTTTAAACCTAAAATTCTCTCATGCAATGGCATGCAAAACCAAATGCAGCACACAGAATGAAGAAAAGGGGATCAGCAAAGAATGCAGAAGGTTCCAGGCAACCAACTGAAATAAGCTTCAAGTTCATACAAACCTCCAACATTAAATTGCTATGTCTGATATAAATGTTTTCACCATCTAGTCTTTCTCTCTTTTTCTGTGAAAATGAAAGGGGGAAAAACAGAAAAGCATAAAAAATTAAGATGTTGTTCTTGCGGGAAAAAACTAAAAATTGGCAAACCAAAAAAATATTTAAAATTAAATGTCCGCAGCACAGCATATGCCAACATGAAATGGTCAGAGAACCACAAGGACACACAGAGAACATGATTACCACTAGAAAACGATGATCTTGTTCATGAATGATGAAAGAATGTGATAATGTTATTTAAATAGACAGTGCTCCTGGCTTCATTGGCTTCTTACGTAACAAGCTGTTTTATGTTCATTTTTGAAATGAAACTGTTTGAGGGTTACACCTTAAAATATATGACTTTAAAAAGCTTTGAAGTTCCATGTGCCATGGAATGAAGAAATGCTTTAAAAACATTATTTAGCTTTTTGGGTGTATTTTATACTGTAGATTAGATATCTATTATCTAATCTCTTTTATAAGTAAGATCTAAGGGCATTTTATACACGATCAGCCAATAAATATGCTCAGTAAGAGCTGATTCATCCCACTGTGTAGTTGAAAAGAATGAGGCACACAGCAGTCAAACCCATAGTTATTAATGTTAGCAGTACTGGGAGTTGCTGCTATGGTTTTTATGATAAATGTGTATAAAATATTGTCAATGATTGCAAGAACATGATGCCATTGTGAAATAGTTCTTATAAAGTTTAAATATAAAAGATAGGTTTGACTTTCACTGATCATTTCACTTTGCTTAAAAAGATATTTTTCTACTAGAATGTTTATTTTAATGAAACCTTTCAGTATGTAGTATAAGATTGTAATTTCTTTGGTATATATATGTGTATATATGTGTGTGTGTGTGTATGTTATTTGAAAGTGACTTCTGATTAAGAGAGAAATCAATGAAAAGAATGGATCACTGTCTTTTTAATGCATTATAAGTTAGCATGGGTAAAATGGCAATGCAGTTTTGTGAAAGTGAGAAATGGCTAACCTTCCTCATTCTTATCAGATCTTCAGTTTTTTCTGCAAGCTTCTGTTTTGCCATAATTAAAAAAAGAAAGAAAAATGATAAAATATTGGCTCATTGAAGTTTGTTTGAACCTTCATTTTATAATTTTTTTAAGGAGAAGGGAGTAAGGGAGAAAAAAAACTAAGGGGGTGGAGGGAAAAAGGAACAAGCGGCTTGTTGGCACAAACCTGTGTTTGGTCACCATTTGAGGTGGGTACTGTGACCTCGATGTGGGTTTTTTCCACCTACATTTAAGAAATAAAGTGGTAAAAACATTTGAGGTTAGTAGGCTTCTATGAATAGTGTTGTTTTCAAATAAGCTGCATCTTTAAGTTGATATGGAATCATAATGATGCAGTCTTATGGAGGGTGTTACAGGGAAGGATATTACTTCCAAAGCAATCTGTTAGTTTACCATCACATTTTCAAGGCTGAAGAGGTAATATGGATATCCAAATTATCAAAAAAGAAAATTAAGGTAATTATTCTATTGACAAAGAAAACATTTTTATACTTATTTATAAAAAGGTATTCGCTAAAAATAATTTAGGCATATTAACGCTACAGCCATATTTTTATTTTGCCATTTTTTTTTGATGATCTGGAAGTACTTTAACATTTAAAAAAACATTTACGAATGAAGATATCAATATATGACATACATGATAGTTAGAAATAAAAACAAAATCTTTACAGTCAAAACACACATGTAATAAACCACATATGACACCAAACTGGTAAATACAAAAGATTTTGTTAGTTGATCAAATATTTAAGAAGGCAGTGTCACCCTTCAGTTTATTACACAACAAAACATCAAAATAAACTCAATCCAAATTATAACTGACACATGCAATTACTTCCAGGGCTGATTTATAAATAAGCACACACAGGACTCAGCTGCAACATTCAACGCTGTAATCTCCTCTCTAGGGAATTGGAGCCCATGTGTTTCGTAGAAGAGCAAGATTCATCCTTAATAGAGGAAAGAGAATAGCTAAGGCCTCCTGCCTAGCTTTAGAATGCCTTTAGTAATGTCATTTTATATACAGAAAATGGAGTACTTATAAAAAAAAAAGATACACTATTAAGAGGAAGCATAATAGAGTTAGCAATGCCTAAAGCATTGAATATTTCAAATTAGAAAACTGATTGTTTTTATTAAGGGTTAAATCAATCACTTTGCATTATTAAGTTCTTTATAGAATCTCATCAATCTGTGGTTTTGACATCCTTTTCAATCACACTAAGCAGCATTACTTTGGAGTATAATGTCATTGTGCTATTTTCTTTAGGACTGAATCTAAAAAAACAAAAGAAAACACCAAACTTGGTGACACTGTCAATCATAAGCACAGCTATAGCACTTTTAACCACCAGGGATAATTAACAATTTGGGTCATTTCTACTCTGAGTCGCAGCACACTTGTGTGGCCATTAACAAGTTATTTCACCTCTCTGAGATTAAATTTTCTTATTGATAAAACGGAGGTCTTCCTGAAACTGTGTATACTTAGCAAATGGTAGTTTTAAATTATTTTATAAGGCTTAAATTCCCTGTTTAAATGAGCAATGACTTCTTTTTGCTTTGGGTCCTTAGTAATCCAGCATCAGGAAATTGAGAACCTTTACTTCCGTTTAAGAAATGAGGCTCAGTATCAACAGTAGTTCTATGTATGCCCCTAAACAGAACATTAAATGAGATAAAAACATACATTGGGGAGAGGTACTACCTCTACACCTGCAGAACAGGCCTTGTCAAATGACCCAGGATGACAAAAAGCTTTTCTATCTGGCAAACTAGTGTTAGATAATGAAATTTACACAGTTACTAGGCTACTTTATTACTATTGTTGCTTTATATAATAAATATGGCTTCAGGTAAATGCCATAATTATTTGCTAATTGCCACAAATAAAATCTGAGTAACTCTTAATTCTGCCACTAATATTACAGTAATAGGTTATCAGAGGTGTTTTTTAGTCTCATTTTGAGATACATGAATATATGTATTTAGATAGAATTAATTGGCAAGAAGACCCCCTATTGGCACTTAGATGGAAAGCTTGTACCCGGTGGTGATCGCTTCACTCTACTGAGATCCCCAAAATAAAGGAAACTTATTCTTGAATATATTTGTGTCTGTCTTATAGGCAAAAGGAGAACAAGTTAAGTCAGCAGAAAGCCAGAGGAATCTAAGCCACTCAGGAAGATTCCCCTGACAACTCCAGTAATTCAATACTTTCCAGTTAGTGTTAACAAATGAAGGGCTAGTCAAAAGTGCCAGGTGAGATATTCTAAGATTAAAAACTGGGAAGGTAGTCTAACGTTAAGGCATTGTTGACACTGAACCTGATGGCCAATGTCATAAACATTTGGCTAGGCACAGAAATGATAACACCCACCATTCACTCAATCTGTTTTTCTCTCTGGACTCTTGGTTGTCTCAAAAGGACAGTAAAACTGTATGCCATATTTAACAGTTTAGTTTTTTTTAAACAGTTAAAACAGAATTAGACTGTCCACTGTCTATAGATAAGGTAGATATTGATCTGGCTCCAAAAGAATAGGATTAATCCACCTACCAAGGTGAGAGCACTTATTAAGGTTTTACATGGTTTTAAGTTTCTTAACAGACATATAAAAATATAATTCTTCTTATGAAGATTGCTTCTCATAATTCCTGTTGGCCACAGTAAGACCCATATTTACAATAAATCTGAACTAGTATCTCAATTCCATCACTGCTTAGATGTGTTTAAAAAGCTTATCAACACATAAAAGAGCAGTCTAGTTACTGTTAACTCCTTGGAAATCTCCTACTTAAATTGGTGATTTTTCAACACGGTGAAGTGACTCTGGATATAATCAACTCAGAACCCTAAGCAACTCAGCAGTATAACCTCTCCTACATAATGGATCTTCCCCTTTTTATAAAGCTACTTAAGATCTGAACAACCACACAGATGTGCTTTCTACAGCACCTATTCTTTGGAAATGTGCACAATCCTCTTATAAAATCAAATTATATTTTCATCACAATAGCAGAGCTTACTCTTAAAAAGCAATGTAGAGATTCCTTCTGGATGAGTAAAATTATTTTAAAAAGCAGATGATCAACCGTGCTAGTGTGTTTTATAAGCCCATTTTTAAAAACACTAAGTTGGGTCAAAGTGCGGGTCACCTGAAAACTTCTGGGTAGCTTATAGTCTTACTGATATAATTCTACGGAAATATTTTACAGGATCATGGGATATGTCTTCCTTCAGAAAGAATGAGGAATAACTTTGTTAGGATTCTACGAGAATAATCAATTGCTTTGAAAACCTTCCTGGTCAAGGGGTTAAAACCTCTAAATCAGAAAGTGAGGTGGCCAGATATTTGGACTTAGGACATACCTTCCATGCTTCTGTGGGCTCTGGCTCAGCTTGCTCAGGTGGCTCTTCTTCCTTTTTCACTTCAGCCTTCACTGTTTCCTTCTGTGCTTTGGGGGCCACTGATTTTTTGACAGGTGCCCCTGGGACGCCGCCTTCTGTGACCTGACTCTGAGCAATGGCTGGTGCAGAGGTGGGCCGAGGACTTCGGTCTGCCGAATCAACAGCTGCTGCTGTGTGAGAAAGGGAAAAGGAAAGAACAAGTGAACGCAAGAGTCACCGTACTACTTAAAAGTCACCAGGCAAAATAACTGTGAATCCAGGACACATAAGAATATTACAATGTCTAGTGGACTATCAAACAGAAGGTAAAATATAAAACATTAGTGCTCTGCCACTTAACTGATGGCAATGAGAAAGATAAATGTGCCCTAAAATGTGTTAACAATCATGTTCCATAAATGTTAAATTCAAGGGAGACAAGATCAAAGTAAGAAAAGATATTGAAAACCTGTTAATCTTGTAATATGTTAGTTTCAAGAACTTGCAATGTTGTCTATGGAGGGAAAAAAAAGGGTTAATTCAGTCTGGTTTCTTCCATGAAGACTTTTTGAAATAAAAATCTGTTTATTTTTAGGTGATTTCAGAAATCTAAAAATATATTCTAGGAAAAAAGAATTAAGTCTGATTTCTTCTGTGAAGCCTCTTTGGAATGATTACAAAACAACCTGATAAATGGCTCTTCTCATAAGACATGGACTATTTTTATAATGATGCTTATAAGGGCAAATCTTTGAACCAGATACCTTCCTTTTTAATAATAAATCATTTGATTAAAATAATATGAATCCAAAATCTTTGGCCTTCAGTCCTAAAAACAAAACAAAAACACCTTTTGAATTCTGTCCTACTCTTTCTCAGAATCTTACTAATTCGCTCCTATTCCCTAATATATTCAGAACAGTGGTTCTCAACTGGGAGTGATTTTGCCCCCAGGGAACATTTGGCAATGTCTGGAGAAATTTTTGGTTGTTATACAACTGGTAGGGGAGAGAAAGGAGGTATAACATCTAGCGCATAGTGACCAAGGTTGCTTAGGTTGAAAAACCTTGATTTACAGAAAAAGCTGTATAGATTGTTTTGGTTTGGACTATTTGGCTTCTAAGTTTTAGACAGTTAACATCAAAACAATTACTCACACTCCTTTTATGGTTTTTATCTTCATTCTTCCAGGGATTAAGAAAATGTCCATATCCTTTGTAGTAAGACCTCACTTACCTGATAGTGTCTAGGAATGAAGGTGTTTTTCCACATGATTTAATATTTCTGATAGATCATTATTCTTTCTTGTACTAAGACTTTTCCATTTTAATCATTTTGCATGGAAATCTTAATTTTTATTAATACTTCCCTGCTTTCTTAAACTGACTGTACTTAACAATTTATCCTGAAAAATTTAGATTTATAAGCTGTAAAGATTAGGTAAAACAAAGGAATTCCATAAATCTGAATAAAAAATTCACTGAAGAATGCATAGAAAAAACAGCAGAAACACAAGAATCTACTTTATTCTTCAATGAAAAATTTGTGGCCTCTTGCAAGTCCCTACTACTTATGGGTGCTCTAAGCAGTCAATGCAAGAATGGCAGATGGCAGACCAAACCGAACAACACAGGGGGAATATGACAAAATATTTTGCTCACAGTTGTGTTAAAGTATCATTATACATGTGTATTCACACCTCCTCTCAAAGAATTAATTCAACTCCGCCTGGCACCACAGAAACATAGCCCATGCTTTCACCATGTGTTATTTTGCCACTTGTCTTTGGTTTTAATCCAATACTAATATTGCAGAGCCAAATGATTTATGTCTTTAGCATTCCTAGCCTCGGCAATCTGTACTGTATGTGGAAAAGTACGTATAAGTATGGAAACTGACTGTTAGAGTTCAGGCCGGGCGCGGTGGCTCACGCCTGTAATCCTAGCTCTCTGGGAGGCCGAGGCGGGCGGACTGTTTGAGCTCAGGAGTTCGAGACCAGCCTGAGCAAGAGCGAGACCCCTGTCTCTACTAAAATTAGAAAGAAATTAATTGG